GCCCAGGGGGGGGGAAGAGGGGGGGGGGGGATTGGAACTTACCCGTAAACCCTAACCCTTCTTCTTCGATCTTCTTCGTTTGGCGCGGGATTCTACAGTCTTATTCTCCACTCATGGATGGAAACAATTCCATGATTTTTCCCGGGAAACTAGGAAACCCGACGCCAATTCAACAACGCTGACGACAAATCAACAGAGAAATTTCCCCGGATTCAATCGGGATTCTCTCCGATCAATCATGGGTTTGGGGAGTTTCGAGAAAGAAAGAGCTTGAATTTGAGGTGCAATCCTGGATCGGATCTCTCAGAAAGTGTAAGAGAAAGACCTCGTAACCAGACAAATATCAAAGTAAATTTGACCACCAGAAGGAAAAGACCAATGGAAGTAATTTTATGTTTGGTAGTTATCAGAAGCGCTGATGACATCTTACAAAGATATTTTTATTATTTTATATTATTTAAGAAATTACTAACACGGTTATTGTTGGAGTCAGTGCATTATATAACCTTTGGCCCTTTTTTTATTTAATTTTATCGTTTAATATAAAAAATGCTTTTGAAATGTTACATCGATTTCACCTCATATCCTTTAACATTAAAAAGTTGAAAAAAAAACTAAAAACTGAATAAAAGACAATAATATACCTAATTAAAAGATTAGGTGTCAAACTTTTAGATGAATATGTTTGCTTTTCTCTTTCTTTTCTCACTAAGTATAAGCCACCTAAATCACATTAATGCATACCATATGACTTAACCTCGAATATAACATATTTTTAAGTTTAAAATTGAATGAGTACTAACTAGTTGAAAAACCATTATCACAAAATGAATCTCTAAAGTGCTATTAATGTTTTAGGAACGTTTTTAGATCAAGATGGCTTTATTTAGTAAACAATATTTTTTTTTTATCACATTGAAATTGGTCATACGCTATAATTATATTGCATACCGGTATCGCATGAGTACTGTTGTTTAGAATATACAAAAGTTGAACAATTCAAAACACCGAATATATTATTTAACAAGTACAACCGATAGTATATTATTCACAAAGTTTATAGTTAAAAACTATCTTTTTCAAACACAATATACTCTCAATGAAGTTTTGCATTACATAGCATTTGCATATAATGCATTAGTTACATGAAATATATTTAGATTTCATTTGACTCAAGATTCTATTTTTATTTTTGTGAGAGGTTGTTCGGTCTGGACTTTATTTGAAAGAATCAAAATCGAATATATCTCGTGAGAACCCCACCCATAGAAGGTTTTAGAAAACCTTAAATAATTTTTGAAACTACACCAACAATCGTGTACTCAACAATCAGAACATTTATAAAAGATTTACAAATTTTGATTTAAGACTTACACCTTATTTTTTAAAAAAATAATTTTTACAAATTATTACTCTAAAAGAATAGTCGTCTCACTTTCGTAACATGATTGAATTTCTTTCTTTTTTAATAATATATGGTCCAATATGAATCTGAGTTGATTACATGATTGAATTTCTTTCTCTCAATGTAGCAAATGATTAATAATTTTATATTTATCATGGAAAACATAAATATTTATAATGCGAAAAAATATCTAGAAACAAGTGAAAAGGCGAGTTAAGGCAAATAATAATGACATCATTGTTACAAATTAGGCAAACTAAAATGTTCCTAAATATATTAAATATAAAAGATAGACGAGAAAAAAAAACAATAGAAATTTCACGTTTTTAAATTATAAACCTTAACTCTAAAACCCTAAATACTAAACTCTAATCTTCTAATCATAAATCCTAAATCATAATCACAACACTAATCGAATTCATAGAAGTCATGATTTACATTTTAAAAAAAAGGACAATGAAACGATGGCGTTTGGGTCGGCATCGCAGCCCCAGAATATTCGGTGTCCAACTAAAGATACTTGGAAAGTGGGTAGAAAGGAACACACGTGGATCAAACTCAAGTGGGGTCGCATTCTGCACGGTCAACGGTAATAATAATTTAGGGTCAACGGCCTTACCGTTGACCGTTGACATCATTAGCTTAGTGTTTATGAGACGTTTGGACTTTTTTAGGCCCATTTCCCGTGTGGGCTTAAAATGGGCAAACTTGTGGCTGAGGACCCTGGTCATCTCGGGTCGGAAAATATAAAAGTGGCATCAATATAAATTCTCTAAAATAAAAAAGCTTAATTATAATATAATTGATTTTTAAGTTAATATTTATACAAGTAAAAATTGAATTCGAACAGAAATTGGACCATGGCCGAGGAGGAAATAGCCCCTTTTTTGTGTTTGATATTTGTATATAAGGCAAAACTCTTGATTATGGTTGAATGGTGACAAAATCATTTTGAGGGTATGAGTTCGATTCTATTGGAGAGAAGATGACACAATTACTTGCGTGACTAAAAACCGATTCTAAATTCAAGAGATTAAGTGGACCGAACAGTTAATCTCCTGATAATAAAAAAAAATATAGAGAATCTCGAAATCCTATTATTCGTGTTGATTTTCTTGCTGATTTTTGGATTGATAACTTGGTGTAAATCTAGGGTTTACATCAGTCTTCAGCCACTATTGGGACCCGATGCTAAATGAAAATAAAGCCCGCTTGATGTCCTGTGAAAGTTTTATAGTCTTATGAAGGAGATGATAGTATCAAATAGATGGTCATTAATCAATGATTTTATTTAGTTAAATACCAAATATACATCAAATTGGTATTGATTTGGTACAAGTCGATCAAATTGTAGTATTTATTTGTTAGTTTGAAATTGATTTATTTATATGACATATTTAGATAAATTATAATTTTTTTATAGAATTTTATTTTAAAACAACAATATGAAATTATTCAAAATATCTCAATGATTTGACACAAAAAAAAAGAAAGAAAATAGAAAGAGGAAAAAAAAGAGAGAGAATACGATTGAATTGAACGTTTCTTCTGCCTTATCCATAGTATCATCATACATGTAATATCAGTAACACGTGTCACTCTCCACACGTATTGTAATAATGCCGCCGGTTATTGATGACGTGTCTGTCTTCTCACTCTCACCCTTTTGATAAATTAGTAAAGAAATTAGAATCTTTCTTTTGTGGATATTATTATTTTTTTTTCTAAATTTGACTATTCTTTTTAAGTTGGTAAAAGTAAATCATATGCACCCATTATTTATAAATTTTCGGGAAATTATTTTATAAAAAATCTTATTAGATTGGATTTTATCGCATTATATTCGAGATGTTAAATTTGTAAACTTTTTAAAACAAAAATTCAAATGTTTTTTCAGTATATGAGGAAAAAATCTCACATAATTGGAAAAACAATTATAGTTGGGAACTGATTAATTGAATTAAAAAAGTTTAAAAAGTTAAATTATTTTTTATTAAATTTTAGAAATGTGAATTAAATAAATTTCAAGAGGAGTTTATAAACTTACGAAATTAAGTTTATAGGAGTAGAAAATAAGAGAAATTTCAAATTTCAAATTTCAAATTATACAATATAAAAATTTAATTGATAAAATTAAATTAGATAGATTATACTAACTCTTAACATCCATATTTTACTAATACTCATTTAATTTAAATGAATTCTTGTTCGTTCAGCTATCAAGAATTTGGAAAATGACAAACTATTGAAACTTTCATGTGTTCGGTTCCTTATTATACCCTTTGTTTTCATTATTATTTCATATTTTTGTAAAAATGATAAACATGGTGCTGTAAGGGATGCCTATCACTCACCATAAATGTCGTATACCCTTTTTTTTCATATAAAAAATATTCTTTCATAGCTCTCCTTTTAAACTTATATTATTTATTTATTATATATAATACAACATAATTATAATTATTTCATATAGGATAAAAATACAATTACAATTATAAATTAGTGTTTGGTTCTAGTTGCTAGTCTGTTGTTCAATTTAAAGGGTAGCTGATTCGAAAAGGGCGAAATGGTCAATTCGTCTAAACATCGGTGGATAAAGTGACGGAGATTCTCGCTGTTGATCTAAGTGAAGAATATCTATATCCTCTTCGTCGCCCTTCTCTCTGACTCTCTCTCTCTCTCATTCTTGGGAACTTTGTCGATCGATCTGGTCGAGTTTGCTCGCTCATCTTCTCCACAGCCCATTTCGGATCCTCCGATTTTAGAATTTCCGGGAAAATCTGGGTTTGGCTCGCGAAATCGTGGGTAAAATCGGCTCTGTTTCTTTGATCATCACAGAAATTGAAAGTTTCTTCTGGGTTTCTGTGTAAATCTGCTTGTCAGATCGAAAATCTGCCAACCGTTTGATTGTTGACTTTTTTTTTGGAAAGTTTGTTGGGGTTTTAGTCGTGCTTTATGTGCATCAGTGATTTTTCATGTTCATATTGTAGTAGCTGAATCTTAGCATGTTGATGTGCCTTCTTATATTTGTATATAATTGTGTGTGTGTGTCTGTATGTATATATTCGTGGGCATAACTCTGCACTAAAATTGAATTCTGGAAATTGACATTTTGGGATCGAGGTTGTGGTGATGCTGGATAGCAAAAACATCTTTTGTATCAAAATTTATGACTTGTTTCTGCAGAAGCTCTCATGGAACCCTAAAGCTAAATATGCTTTCTTATGTTTTATGTTACAGGATATAGGAAAAACCAGTCTCAAGTGATCATTTTTAGCTCACACTGCTCATGAATATCATTACACCAGACTTTTAGCATGTTTACAGATTTTTAGCATTTTATGTTTTTCCAATTTTATCTAGTTACGCGGAGTTATAGAGACAGCTATCTCCTGTTACTGATTCATATATCTTTCAGTTATTGTAGTTTGTGACTGTTGAAAGTTACATATAAGCCATTGTTAACAGAGAGCTAAGTTTTGTTCTTGTTGTGCTTTTCTTGGGTTCAGCATTTAAGGAGCGAAGATGAGGTCAGTTCATGCACCTGTTGTTTGCCCGGCTGTTCGTCCCAGACAAATGAATGCCTGTACTTCGCTTGTTAGCTACTCTGCCTCAAACACTAAGTTTCTTAGAAGCCGATTCTTGGGCAGCCCTGCAAAAGTTGTCAAGGCCCGGGCTTCCACCGTCCATCTAAGGTTGCATCTTCGTCGATGCAAGAGTATACAGTGTGTTTTCAGTTCACATTCTGACGGTTCTGGGAGTACTGCTGAGAATTTCAACGAAAATAATGAAGAGTATGTTAACTCTAGTGTGGTGGAAGCCGGTAAGTTTGATTAATAATCAGTTAAGAAACCCGAGTTCTCTTTTGGTCTGAAACATGATTCGGTATTGATATATTATGTTGAAATGATGACCACCAGCTCTAATTCCATTTGCTTGTGGATGCCCTTGATTATATGTGAAGTACTTGTCTATTGTGTATTGATATATTGTTTGGATTTCGTATTTAGTTGAGGTGAGGAGTGGAGCTGATGGTTTCATGGTAAAGATGAGGGATGGCAGGCATTTACGCTGTGTCCATAACAATCCTCAAGGAGGGCATCTACCAGATTATGCTCCACACCCTGCAATTGTTTTGAAAATGGAAGATGGAACCGGTCTTCTCCTTCCAATTATCGTGTGTATGTGACATTGTACCCATACTCATCATATGAGAGCCTAAAATTTTGGTAATCTTAAAGTGGCATTATTCTCGCTGGCCATTGCTCTGAGTTCGTTTCTTCTGTTGTTTATTGCAGTGGAGATGCCGAGTGTGTTGCTTATGGCAGCTTTGACGAATCTCCAAATCGTATGCTTTTATTGATCACTCTTAATATACTCCAATTTTTGTATCCTAGGAGATATGAAGAGAGAGTTAATGGATTTTTTTTCGGCTACTTATTTGCAGGCAAGGCCTACTATGTATCAGGTGGTGAAGGAGATGGTTGACAAGATGGGTTATGAAGTATGTCTTGTTGTGATTTCTGTTTCTTTTCTCCTCATTCTCTTTCTCAAAATTCCATTCTGCAAGACATTGTTAATGAAAAATCATCCAACTTTTCTTCAGGTTAAACTTGTTAGAGTCACCAAAAGAGTTCAGGAGGCATACTTCGCACAGTTGTTCCTTTCAAAGGCATGTAACCACTTCCATCTTCCATCGGTTTTGAAAAACTTTAATATACTAGTTACCCAGTTTATCGATATAAGTAAAACGGTGCTTCGGATTTTGTTGCAGGTTGGTAATGAATCCGATTGCATCAGCTTTGATCTCCGGCCTTCAGATGCTATCAATATTGCCGTGAGATGCAAGGTATACTTATGGTACTGATGGTTGTTCTTTCTTATGGAGAGTATCATTGTGATGCCATCCATTGTATAATCGGCTTTGTAGGTACCTATCCAAGTTAACAAGTACTTAGCATATAGTGATGGGATGCGTATTATCGAATCAGGGAAGCTCAATACACAAGCACCTGCTTCCGATGGGTTATTATTTACTGAATTGGACCGGTAATTCTCGAACTGATATGTTCGGTAAATCTATAAATTTTTTCTCTTCTGATGAAACGAGACTATGATAACTTAAACCCGTTGTTTTCCTCGTGCAGTCCTACTTCTCAGCCTTGTCTAGATACAAAAGAGTTTAATCTTTTGAGGAACATGATGGAAGCTGTTGATGAAGAACGATATGACGAAGCTGGTAAGCTCTTCGTCCTAATCCACTCAAATCTCGGGTCATTGTCCTAATGAAATCTTGCCTATCCAATTCTTGCCCCTTTTTTGCTAAACAATGGAATTACTCCGCATCTGATGGTAACCGTGATTCGTGCATATGAACTTAAACATCATAGACTCTTTCCAAGAAGTATTCTGTTTCGACCCTTTCCGCTTAACATCACAGACTCTTCGATCCCCTCCAGTGTGGAGATGGGTGTCAAATCAGAAACGTTTTTCTGAAGTTTTTACCTGTAAAGCTGGGTATTGATCAGTGACTATAAGGTATCCAGTTTTTGTATGAACAACTTGGTGGGTGTTCTTGTTCTTGAATTTGAGATCACTAGCCGCCATGGTTTTGCAGCTGAGTGGAGAGACAAGCTTGGACAGCTTCGGGCGAAACGGAACTTGAGGAAATATACATGAGAGGTATGATCACACCTATCGTTCCAATTCCATAACCCGACGTTGAATTGAAATACCTATATGATTTTCGTAAATTTCGAGTTTGTGTAATCGTTATACTTTTGCCTTTGGTTTTGGTTAGAGCTTGAAGAAGGTAGCTATTGTACATAATAATAATAGTCAAGAAGCCATTTGTGGGGGGAGAGGCTTGGAACAAGTGAAGGAGAACAGGAGATGCTCTCTCGAACTTCTACACTTGTTTGCCTTAGTGAAACAAGAAGAAAAACAATGACTGTATGTCATGTGTGTGTATGTATGTGTCACTTGTTAATATATGTTTGGACTTTAAACACGATTAGTGCGTTCTTTATCTCTAATTAATTAAGAACAGATTAAGAATTAATCAACTTGGTTCTTTCCACTGATTGGTTGGATCTGTTCAGATTCCATTTGGAGTTGCCTGGGGCTCACGGTTCGTACAAAAATTAATTTTAATTTTCTTGATTTGGCTTTTATTACCAAAATAAAAAGGAGAGAAAAAAAAGGAGAAAGAAAGATGTTGCAGTTGCAGTCTTGCAGATATAAAGGAAGAGTTCCCGCCAAGAGGTTTCACACGAGGCGGCTCGTCGAACTTAAGTGGGTCCCACAAAAATGACCAACCGCTTTAAAATAAAAAATTAGAATCTGGGTTCTTAAACTAAATTTCATTATTTTTTAATTATTATTAGAATTACTTATAACGCACGATTACATTTAAAAGTCATCGGTTCATTTGACGTCTCTTTCTATTTCCCTGTTTCCTCTCGCGTGATTTTGCAGATTTCGGATTTCCCAGGGTTCTCGTCTCTTTTCGCTCGATCGATTCTATTCTATGTCGGGTCCTCTGGATCGATTCGCCAGACCTTGTAAGTCTCTCTTTCCTGCTTATTGCTTTGTTCTTGATCGTTTTCCTAGGTTTGAATGACGCGATTTTGGGGTTTTGCCTGCGAATTATAGGGCTTTAAGCTGCTGGTTTCGGATTGTGATTGGGTTGCTATATTTTAATCTGTAACAGGAACCGGATTGATTTCTGTAGTCTCGTGGCGTTCATGTTCGTGTGTTTTTTTTTATCGATGTTGTGATGGATTCCGACAAGGAAACTAGTAGAAATTGAGGGACTGTTACGTTGTGAGGTCCCACGGTGATGTTTGCGTGTTTGGTTGTGTTTCAGGCTTCGAAGGCTGTTCTAACAATGACGAGAGAAGAGAGAGGAAGTCAGATTTTGAAGCTTCAGAGGATGAGAAGAGAACTAGAATCGGTAACTTGAAGAAGAAAGCAGCGAAGGCTTCAAGCAAATTCAGACATTCGCTGAGGAAGAAAAGTAGGAGGACAACCAGTGATCGTTCTCTTTCTCTTACCATCGAAGATGTACATGATGCCGAGGAGTTGCGAGCTGTGGATGAGTTCAGACAAGCACTCATCTCGGATAATTTGCTTCCTCCCAGACTGGATGATTATCACATGATGTTGAGGTCATTTGTCTCTTCCATTGTTTTCTGCTGATAGTTTCTTCCTGATTGATATGACTTCCTATTTCCCTTGTCGACGAACTTAGCGCGTGTCTGTCTGCTCTATGTTGCTAAATGGAGTTTGTCAGCTAATGTATACTAGTTGGGAGATGCATATTTCACCACATACGGGTCTGTCAGTGCGTTTTTGCTTATAGGATTACATTCCTTGTTTAAGACTTTGGTCCTGAGATTAAACAGTAGAAGGAGACAGTTATTGAATTATGAGCCGTGTTTTTATGACATATTACTTGTTATTAAATTTTTTCTTTCTTCCTGCCAACAGATTTCTGAAAGCAAGGAAATTTGATCTTGGAAAAGCGAAGTTAATGTGGGCCAATATGCTCCAGTGGAGAAGAGATTTTGGTACAGAGACAATTTTGGGGGTAAATCTTTTGCTGTTGTTAAGTATTTGTATGCAAACCTACTTTGTTTTCAAAACTGTTATTGCTGCAGCTGAAGTTTTGTGGATAGTTGCTGATAGTTTCTTTGTTCTAGGATTTTGAGTTTACTGAACTGGACGAAGTTCTCAAATACTACCCTCAGGGCTATCATGGTGTTGATAAGGAAGGAAGACCTGTTTACATAGAAAGATTAGGAAAAGTAGAGCCAAGCAAACTCATGCAAGTCACCACTCTGGAACGATATGTGAGATATCATGTTCAGGAGTTTGAGAAAACCGTTACTATTAAGTTTCCAGCTTGCTGCATTGCTGCAAAGAGACACATTGACTCCAGCACAACAATTCTAGATGTTCAAGGCGTGGTATATGCCTTTTCTAATCCCAAACCTTAAATATTCTTTTTGAAATTTCATCTGGAATTTGCAAAATATCCCGTATCTTCTAGTTAGATTCTAGTATACATTTGCAGGGTTTTAAAAACTTGACTAAGCCTGCTCGGGATCTCATAATGCATCTGCAAAAGATTGATAATGATAATTACCCTGAGGTATGGAGTGGTTGTCATTGTATCCAAAGAATGCTGTGTTTTCAGCCTCTGGTTAAATATCATGTTGTATGACGTGTGTGCAGACACTTCGCCGTATGTTCATCATCAATGCTGGTTCTGGTTTTAAGATGCTCTGGGGTTCCATCAAATCTTTTCTCGATCCAAAAACGACCGCGAAGATACATGTAAATTGACTGTTATTCTTTACATTCATCTTTCCACCACCCTTGTAACTAAAATTTGATTGCATCAACTGGCACTGATGTTGTATGATAGGTCCTTGGTAGCAAGTACCAGAACAAATTACTTGAGATAATTGATGCAAGGTATCGATTTTTCATTTTCCTGTGTTTTGCTTGATTACCAAGTCCCCGACATATAACCATTTTTGGAAATTGTTCAGTCAGCTGCCAGATTTTCTTGGCGGAACATGCACTTGCACTGATCAGGGTGGTTGTATGAGATCAGATAAAGGGCCCTGGAAAGACCCTGAAATATTGAAGGTGAAACGCGTTCCTTGATATTCTCCAACTTGTATGTCCTATTGCTGTTAAAACCAAAACATATATACTGGCATAATGATCTTCTGGTCTCCATGCAGATGGTTCGTAGTGGTGGGACGCTTTGTAGGCATGCGAGTGCTATCTCGAACAATGACCCACAGGTATCCTCGCTTGATAAGTCATCTTGTTCTCGGGTGAGGTCTTCAGATTTTTCAGGATGAAGCTCGTTTTGAGTGTCAGTAACATAACACTTTGGTGAAACAGTATCTGACAGTGGCAATATCATCCCTTCACTCAGATAAAAGTTAGTGACACTTCAACAGCGGAGTCAGGGTCTGAAATGGATGAGATGGCTTCTCCGAAAGTAAACAAGAACAACCTTGTACCTAAGTTGACTCCTGTTACTGAAGATGTAAGTGGCTTGATATGTACAGAAATCCACCGTCGTGATACACCTCCCTGTCTTTTGTACTTGCCTTACCTCACATGCTTTTACGGTTATCCAGAATCGGGTCAATGGAAGATCAAGTCCTCATTTTTCAGAGTATGAGGAGTGTGTACCGATGGTGGATAAAGTTGTGGATGTATCTTGGGAGCCCCATGGAAAGCCAATTGCTTTAGAAGGTAAGACCCAAAGCCGAAAACTAAGATGTGCAAAAATCCAGATGAAATTACACCTTTTTCGATTGTCCAAAACATTTTGTCTACCCGCAATTTCTCATAGAAATTTGATAGATTCTAGGAACCTACCAATGATGTTTTACCGGTCTTTAGGAGTTGGGAGATCCTTAAACAATATTAGAGCGTTCGTTCGCCCTCCCCTTTTTTTTAATTATCAAATTTTCTGATAATCTTATTGAAGGAACAAAAGTCCCTTTTGTAGGGAAGAAGGAGATGGTTGACAAGATGGGTTATGAAGTATGTCTTGTTGTGATTTCTGTTTCTTTTCTCCTCATTCTCTTTCTCAAAATTCCATTCTGCAAGACATTGTTAATGAAAAATCATCCAACTTTTCTTCAGGTTAAACTTGTTAGAGTCACCAAAAGAGTTCAGGAGGCATACTTCGCACAGTTGTTCCTTTCAAAGGCATGTAACCACTTCCATCTTCCATCGGTTTTGAAAAACTTTAATATACTAGTTACCCAGTTTATCGATATAAGTAAAACGGTGCTTCGGATTTTGTTGCAGGTTGGTAATGAATCCGATTGCATCAGCTTTGATCTCCGGCCTTCAGATGCTATCAATATTGCCGTGAGATGCAAGGTATACTTATGGTACTGATGGTTGTTCTTTCTTATGGAGAGTATCATTGTGATGCCATCCATTGTATAATCGGCTTTGTAGGTGGTGAACACTCGGGGGTGTTACTCATCATTATTCCTAGTCCCCCAACCCAATTAAATAATTTAAATGATAAGATTTGCAGATTTGTATTATTGATAATTGAATGAGTTTATATAGAAAACTTAGTTTCTTTCATTATAATATTAATTCCTATCATACTATCATAAGCAAATATATAAATACAAAACATAGTAATATCAACTCCATACAAACTGATTGACTAATAAAAGAGACATAAAATATCAAAGCTTAACAAACAAATAACCCTATGATCTATCCCGATGATGTGGAACATGTCACAGGTACAACTTCAACATCTGGTTTGGAGAGTACATGGATGGTTAGTTATATATGGAGGTGGCTAACCACAGTCTTCATGACCTTGCTTACTCTCTTCGTGCCTCTGGCTCCACCAGAGACGAAAGGACAGTCTCAGTCCGATTCTTCGAGCACTAGAGCTGACATGGGTGATGAACCAATTGAAAAGGAGTCGCGCCCTCCATCACCGGCTTACCCAACTATCTCCGAAAGAGATCTCCTTTCTTCTGTAGTGGTTCGACTAGGTAACCTCGAGAAAACAGTGGAAACCCTTCATTCAAAGCGATACACAATGCCTCATGAGAAAGAGGAACTGCTAAATGCTGCTGTTTATCGCGTGGATGCACTAGAAGCCGAACTTATTGCTACCAAAAAGGTATAAAACATTGAATCTCTCCATCCAATCGCCCGTGCGCTTGCATACCGATCTTATATTATTCACATACACTCTGCTTAAGCAGGCGTTACATGAGGCATTGATGAGGCAAGAAGAACTTCTGGCTTACATAGACAGGCAGGAGGAAGCGAAATACAAGGTAGACCACTACCCTTTTGCGGACACCTGATTCCTTTTTCTAAAAATTTTCAGATAAGAAGCAAGCAGTTTCCTTTAGTCGATTTCGTCTGCCCTCGGGGGTTTTTTTTTTTTTGACAATATGCATGATATATGTTGCAGAAGAAGAAGTTTTGCATGTGAAGAGAAGTTGGGTAATGAGGTAAGGCAAAGTGTTCGTTCCTTGCTTTGAGAAGTAATTTATGTTATGGATAGGTTTCTGTTTTTATAGTTTGTTAGTTCGTACCCCACGGAATGATGGTAAACCCGTTAGGTCTCATTAGCCAAAGGTTTCGTGCTTTTAGCAAGTGGAGGAGACTGTCTCGTGTTGAGATTTACATACGTGTGTGTGTATACATATATATATATATACAATAAAACCAATGCTTCGTGATTTGACTGACCGACCCATAAGGTTGTGTGAATTTTGTATTACGGTATTTATAAACATCTCCAAATCTCCAAAGATTCTGAGTTCATTGTATCATAAAAATCATGCTTTATCATTGATCATGAATGATAAAATATATTCAAACGGTCAGATGTGTACTCTTCAATCTTTATCTTCGATTCTGTCAATATGAGTAATCTAAAGTAGTTTATATATCTCGTGCGTTTTGCATACTATGATATAAGAAAAGGGTTTATTTATGGATTACCACGTTATAAAAAAGAAAGGAAGAAAAGAAATCAGGAAAAAATTCCTAAAAAATTTTAAACGTGTAATTCGATGGAAAAATAATTTCTAAATTTACTAATGTTCCGAACTTGAAAAATTAGACACGATTATTTTTAAACTTGTTTAAAAGTGGTATAATCATCTTAACAATAATTTTGATCAAAATAATGTGTTAAACAATCCTATACAAAACCGGGTTTAATAGATACAGTTTAACAAAATCGTTTCGTAATAGTGAAAATTTCAGTACACCGGAAGATTTGAGATAATGACGGAGATCGGAATAATTATCAACACTGTCGGTTCTCGAGCTCTAAATCCATATCTCCGCCGAAACAGGAGCGTTTGGCATCAAAATACCCATCATCGAGAGTAGATCTTTTTTTGTCCTAGATTTTTCTATGAGAACGGTGTTGTTCTCGGAAGAGATGCGGCAATCGGAAATGCCATCGATGAGCTCGGAAATACCAGCCAAATTGTTATATTTACTGAACCGGAATTTTTACAAATCGGTTTTATTAAACCGTGTCTATTAAACCCGATTCTGCATACATGACATTAAAATTTGACGGGTTTTGATGATTCATGTTCCATGTAGGATTTTTCAACATATTACTTTACAAAAATTTTTGGTAAGAACGATTATGACACTGTTAAACAAGTTATGAATTATCGTGTCTTAAAGAGAATAAAAAAAACACCTACAAATTCAGGAATAGTTTTCCACTATATTATAAATTTGAGAATTTTTAAGAGTTTTTCCCAAGAAATTATTGAAAATTTGATAAAAAAAAAATCATGGTACACACTTGAATGAAACCCCTCGACATCAAATATATATAACCCCACATTGCAACAAGGGTATGAAAATATTTGCATATGTGCCCATCATTATAGATCTCTTATTGTTTTTTTTTTTGTTGAATGATTTCTCAGATCTGCAACACAGCTTTTTATCTAGATCTCTTTGATCCAGCTAAAAAGTTGAATGATTTCTGAGATGTACTTCTGACGGTTATTGGTAACTGTAAAAATTATTGATAGAGTTGTTTGTCTAATTAACTTCACTTTTTTAAAAAAATTAAAACCCTAAAATCCTTTTTTCTCGTATAAATAGTTTTTTTTATTATTAAATGACGGTAAAAATAACAAAATATTCAAAAAATATTATTGCTATTCGTAACAATATGATATTTTTTTTTAAATAATTTATTTCAACAAGTTACAATAACTGAGGCCGAGGAAGATCTACCTTTTGTGAACTAAAAGTAATAATTCAAACCCAATATATCGTGGGCGAGTGGTCAAACTTGGGGTATGAAATAACTTAACCTTGAGGTTGAATGTTCGGTTTCTGGCGGGTGGGGATGGAGGTAATTTCTGGATTTATATGATCCATATACAAACGCTGCTCCCGAACCGGAGGTTTACCTAGTCAGCGCATCCGAAGGATAGCAGCTATGGGTCGTTATAAAAAAAAGGTAATAATTCAGTTCAGAATCATTATCATCTGATTTGACCAAGGGAAATGAAAAATACAAAGTTTCTCACGTATACTATAGAATGCGAGCTTATCTACGATCCTTTTCCCTAAAAGAGTCAAACAGAGAAAAGTTTTATAAGAGCTTTAATACATCAGTATCAACATCAATATCGTTTTAATCCCAATTTTATTTGGGGTCGGCCGAATGAATTCTTCATTTATACTCATTTCGATTTTGACTATGCTCTTTCGAAATTCGCAATAATTTCAAACTATTCCCGATGACATGTTTCCAAGTTAATGTTGGTTTACCCCTTCATTTTCTCTTCATCTTTATTTCTATAGTCTCCACTTTTCTAACTGGATCACCTATCGATATACTTTGTATATGTCCAAACCATATTATACGTCTCCTCATAATTTTTCTTTTATATCTATTACTTATATTTTATTTCTTTCTAAGAACATCATTTTTAATTCTATCCATTTTTATATATCTATTATTTCACCTTCTAGTATTCGCCATCATACGCCAATGAGATTTTTATACAGCGTACAGTAGAATCTCCTTTACAACAAATACTTGGCTTCAATAGTTGAAAAAAAAATAATGCAGAACATGATACTTTACCATTGGAAGAAGTAGGACGACGCTATTATCACGTTTTTTCTCGGCAGATTCAAGAAAGCTGAAAAAACAAAAGCCATATTGTTGACATCTCATGGAAAAGCAAAAGACGAACCAAGACCTCCTATGCCCTCCTCCATGACAAGATACCGAATGTCGACAACAACTACTTTTTCTCAGACGGCAATGAATTAAAACGCGTGGGGAAATAAGAGAGCTTAGGACTAAGCACAAAAGCCAACAGACACGTGCCCACCTGCCTCTTTCGAGATAGAGACTCGCACCAATAGTCAAACATGTTTTGGACCCAACAAAGGGCATCTTCGGAATCACTTCCTCTTTCTTAGAAATGAATTTAGTAAACCAACTTCTGGTTTTTGTTTTTGTTGACGTGGCGCTCAGTTTCTGACGTGGATACCGACGTGGCAACCCCACCCTTATCATCTTCAACTTCCACAAATTTTGGGAGGGGTGAACCAAGTTGGACTTCAACTTTAATCCTTGATTCACCAATGCTTAGGGGATTAAGTCGCATCTTTTCAGAATGCAGGGGGTTCTCCAATCCTGCTAGCTATATAACTGATCCCTTTCAATGAAGCATCTCTGCAGGGATGTTGCATAGAGTAAGCCAGATAGGTGCCGATGAGAGTTCCGGTTTCCGAATAGTTGTCGTGGGAGTCCATTCAGAAAGTGAGAACATCATATCTGCAGCATACCAAAGTCCGACCTCTAAGACCCCTTCCCTGGTCGCTTAATTGGTTTTCACATTCTCCTTAATTCATCATGTTCTGTAAAGCTTTTATCAATGAAATATGCAACCTTTACCAAAAAAAAGAAAAATACGGCAATATCAACGGCTACAGGTATTATGAAACTATTTAGTAATTATTAGTTTCCTGTCCTCTCTCTCTCTCTCACATTGATTCGTCTCCCCAATAGAGCAAATTTTAATAAAAAAATTTTAATAAAATAATTATGATATAAAAGTGATTATATCTGGTGCGTTTCTTTCTATCTTTAGTTTTTTTTTTATTGTCGGAGGATTCAATACTATAATATAAAGATATCTAAAAAAAAGATTCTAGGGTTTGGTGGTGTGTTTAGCTTACGGTTTTTAACATTCCTCTCTCTCTCGGATTAATTTGTCTCTCCAATGGACGAGGCGCGTGTGCTAAATATGATCAAAAGACGTTCGAATTTCAGAGCATTCATCCTTGGGCTGATATCGGCGTCATCTGCCATCATCTGCGCGAGTTTCGAGTCACCGGTGATGGATTCCTTGCGTATGCGCTCGACCTACTCAGGCTGGAAACATTTTCTGTAGGCGTTGAATCATTCCTCAGAAACTCTACCAGAAGACCACATGTTCCACCGTTGTATTGTTACTGATTCATGGATTCGAACAACTGTACATGTGCTCATGTCTAATTCTCAACCAAATAAGTTTCAGTTAATGTTGAATACTGAAAGAGATGATTAATTAGGGCTTTGTGCTTTTGCAAGTGGGTGTATGTAATATGCTTGCATGGCTTTGAATGTTGGAGTTAAACATATTCCTCACGTATGGGTTTTTGATTTGGTTATTTGTGATTGTTTTTTTTTGTTTGAATAAGTCTTGAAAGACGTTATACTCAAGACCTAGTATAACGCATGTCTCCCATATTTCTAGGTTTGATTTGTTTTGTATTATTGATTATAAATAAGAATGCAAGCTCACGAAAAAGATAGAGCGTGGGTTTTCCTTTCACTTAAAAACCTTCTGATCAAAGTATTGCTTTCATAAATTATTTTTTTTTATGTGTTGCATTATCTTCGTTCAATTGTTGGGTCCTTTTTGAATCTACATGTGGTATCAGAGCCAAGGTTGAAAGATTCGGTGAAAGGAGAGTTTTTTTTTTAAAAAAAAATGTCTCAATCATACTCGAGTGCCGTTCGAAGCGGAGGAAACGGCGGTAACGGTAGCCAGAGTGCGACGGAAGTGAGACCGTCGATGAAAGAAGGTAGTGTAACCCTTCAGTATCCGATCTTATCGAAAACAAATTTCGCCGTTTGGGCGATGAAGATGAGAATAAATATGAAAGCTCAAGGCGTATGGGAAGCTGTGGAGTCGCAAGGTCCAGTTGATCCTCGACTCGACATGTTAGCCTTGGCAGTGATATGTCAAGAGTTAGACGAAGAAACGCTACAACAACTAGAAGAGAAAACTTCAGCAAAAGAAGTTTGGGATGCCCTCAGAACTATGCACCTAGGAGATGCTCAAGTTAAGAAGGTGCGAGCACAATCCCTAAAAAGAGAATTCGAAGGGATTAGGATGAAGGAAAGTGAATCAGTTGATGAATTCACTGGTCGGATATCTACTGTGGCAAGCAAATTGAGGGCTTTGGGAGAAACAGTAGGTGAGATTCAAGTAATTGAAAAGATGCTTAGGTCTGTGACGGGGAAGTATCTCCAGTTAACTTCGATGATGGAACAATTTAGAGATCTTACGAAGATGACTGTCGAGGAAGTGAAGGGAGCACTCAAGGCGCATGAAGAACGTCTAAAGGAACTCGATTCAAGGGATGACGAACATGTGTTGTTAGCACGCGGTGAATGGAAAGGTCGCG